GGCTGGTCAGGGAAACGCCTGCAGCAGGCGAGAGTCGGGGTTGACTGGTGAGATCTGGAGGATGAAAGAGGAGAAGGATGCTCATAACACATTGCGGACGGATCACGAGAATTCTCGCTTCGTATTCACAGTGTTTTACAAAGATCCTACTTTAAAAAGATAGTAGCTTGTAAGGGCAGGTAATAAATAATTTCAAAATGCAATGGCTATTTGATTTTAAAGCGTGCCTTTAACATGTATGTAAAACGCTTTTTGTACTCGTTCAGTAGAAACTTACTGGCCACTGGGTAAAGCTAGCAATGGAACTACTGGTCCGCAAGGTGCTAATACGGGGCAACAGGGGGAAGGAGTGTGAGCAGGTGAGAGGTGTGTGGAAGGACAGCGCTTGGGATCAGGTTTCTGGAGGTGTTTGGCGCTGGGTGGGGTACGGTCAGGCTCGGGGAGACAGTGGAGAGCGCCGAGTGGCAGGAGAAGCTGGTGCCGTGCTGGCAGCTGTGGCAAAGGAGGAGGTTTTAGGCGAGGGTAGTGCTGGCTGCGTGTGATTTGGAGCAGAAAGAAGGTGTAGGTGAGGAGGCTGCTTTTAATAAAGGCTTCGTTGCGGTGCAGTCCGCATACCTACAGTTCACCCCATCCAAAGGAGACCGCCTTCTAAACACGGGAGTTCCCCTTCGGGTGGCAGGTCATCCGTGGAGCGCACCTTCGCTCTGTGACAGCGGGCCTCTCCTTCCCCTCGGGCTCCCTCAGCCGGTTGTGTTTCTGACCCTGTTCTCCGCCAGGGCTGGCAGCCGTGGCAGCCATCCTGACCCTGTTCTCCGCCAGGGCTGGCAGCCGTGGCAGCCATCAACACTGCCATCCAGAAGGGCGTGGCTGAGAAGACTGTTCTGGAACTAATGAACCCCGAAGCCCAGCTGCCCCAGGTGTATCCATTTGCTGCTGATCTTTATCAGAAGGAGCTGGCGACGCTGCAGCAGCAGAGTCCCGAAGTAAGTGAGCTGGGCCTGCCCGGCTTGTGAGCAAAAACTA